ATAAAAAAAAAAAAGAAAGAAAGAAATATAGCACCTCTGAAATGATTTTTTAGGACAATTCACAGCAGTTTGCCAAAGGCAAAACTTTTATCTACACAAGCTATAAAAGTGGTGACATTTAGATATGTAACCTTCAATCCCTAGGGACACTGAAAAATAAATATGATTTGCCCTGAAGTTATTGCATTGGAGAGGTCACCTAAAATACATCCTTGACTCATCTGAACTTTTCTTCATTTGTCCTTCCAACAAAAGGCTTTTAACTGAGATAAAACAACAGGCGAGGCTGCCCCTGGCCTGATGCTGTGGTTCTCATACACAGGCATCCAGAAAGCGTCACAGGTCTATGCAGAGAATCCTGTAACAGTTACAGCCGTGGCAATTCTCAGTTCAGGTCATGAAGTCCCAGCTCAGAGTGCTTCAGAAGCTCCCGTGGGAGAACAATCTGGCATCTTTTGTTTAAGCATGCTCTTTTCCCAAAAGCTCTGTGTTTGTCTGACAACACAAGCCCAGTGCTGACGCACTCTTGCTCAGAACACTGGGTCAGGGAGGTGGACTTGCAGATAGAGGCTTCGCAGCCCCACACCGAGGACTCCTTCTGTGCTTGGGAATGTGTGATGAGCGCATTACAAGTGAAATGTAAAAGTAATTGTAATCGTCCTTCCTTGTACCTGGCAAGCACGCTGGTGGAGACCGTGCCTCCGGCAGTACTTCCGAGTTAGGGTTGGGGTGCTGGGGCAGCTTCTGAAAGTAAACAGTGCTGCGTTTCTCCTCCTGCTCCTTGCCACTGATTTCCATTTTCTAATTAAACGATTTTCTTCCGAAAATCCAAATGGAGCTGACATGCAAAGATACACAAGGAAAGGAGAAGGGGAAACAAACCAGGGGACCCAGAAAAAGATAATCTGGGATGTAAGGTCCAGAGAGACTTGGGCAGAGCGTAGGATACAGAGGGCGCTGGCCCGCGGAGGGTAGCTAAGAACTGGGTTATGCAGGCAGGCTGTTTGTATTCGAAGGGCAGGGTTTATCAGGACAGGATGTTCCTCCAGGTGGCTCACACAACCTGAGAGCATGTATCTCCCCAAACAAAACGTTATTCCTGCACCCAAGGACCGGTGCATCTTAACTCCAAATCGCACTTGTTACAGGTTCCATCTAAAAGGTCCCACAAAGGCCTCAGGCGCTGGGATCACAGGGGCCTCACAGCTGACTTGCTGACTCCCTGCTAGGAGGTGGGCCTGGTTGGAGATAGGTCACTGGAGTGTGACCTGAAAGTGCATATTCCAGTCCCTGGCTCTGCCTCCCTCTCTCTGCTTCCTGGCTTCCATGAGCTGAGCACCTCTTCTTCCACCAGGCCCTTCTACTAGCTTGTCTCAACCTTTGAGCCCACCACCCACGAACTGAAATGATGAACCAAAATAAACCACTCCTCTTTTAAGTTGTGAGCATCAGGTAGCTCATGCCAGCAACAGGGAAGTGACTAAGACATCACCCAAACTACTGTCTCCTCCATCTCTGTCCTCATCCTTCCCACAAACCCTTAGTACCATCCTTCCGGAAGTCAGAGGACACGAGACAAGTAATTTCTATTAGGTTGACCCTCAAGATTTCCTCTTTTTCCTCAAATGTCATGATAGGCTAATTCTACCACCTTCTTGATTCTAGAAACATCCAAACTTAGCAAGAGGTAATTTTTGGAGAGCTCTGCTAGATCAACCCCACACCCACCCACCCACCCACCCACCCACTGCTGTTCTGTTCGGCCACTTGCCAGGCTGAGCCATAGAAGCGGTGAATCATGTGCCCGCCATGCCAAGTGGCAGCTGGCAACTTAGTTTCAGGGTATCTTGAGAGGCTAACTTCACTCTCCTTGCCTGGCTTGACCACTCATCTGTCTTCCACACACAGCGGGGAGAGTGTGTTGCAAGGAGCCTGTCCTGGTGCTGGATGCCCGAGCCACAGCTGGACACCCCATCCGTTTCTCTTTCATGCCACCCTGGCTAACGAGTTGCTGTTTACGAGAAGCAAGAGTTGACTTGGTAAATTCCCAGGGCATAACGTAAGCGCCAGATCTTGGAAGGCGCCTATGGAATCCTGCACTGGTGGGGGAGAAAAGACAAAAGGAGGAAGGACGGGAACAGAGCCAGGGAGGTCACACAGAAGGTCAGGGAAGAAGGAACCTGCCTCCTCGCTGTCCTCACTGCCACAGCCCTCCACCCACCCCTTACCGGACTTGGACCCCCGCGGCCACCTCTAATCTGCCCTCGAGATTTCTGGCACATGCAAGTAAAGGATGAAACTTCAAAACATACTTTGACATTTCTGTATTTGATCTGGTTTGCTAATAGGGAATCTAAAATACATGCCGCCCAACCGTTCCACATTACAGTATTTCTGGGAGTCCCACGTGGAGGTGCTAGGATTTATTCTCCCCAGTGTTTCCAGTTCTTCGGTTTCCTGCCTTTGTCTAGACTGCAAAACTAATAAGATACCTAGTGCTAAAACTATGTGGAGAGTAAAACGGATGACACATCTGCAGCTTTAATGAAATGAGATAAATCTTGAAAATGTATCCAGACAGATATATGTTACCAGTGGGTGTATGAAGTTGGATGAGTTAAGTTTCATATAAATATTGGCTTCCTTTTTTTTTAATCTTTCAAAATCTAGCAAACAAAAAGGGATTGATAGTCACTTTTAGAAATAGAAAATTGGATTGATTACTACTGAAAATGATGAAGGTTTAGGATTTTCTTACCCCAGCTTGTGCTTCTTTTCTTTTTTTGTTTTTTTGTTTTTGTTTTTGCTGTTCTTATGAGACAGGGTCTCACTATGTGGTTCAGCCTGTTCTTGAACCCCCAGTGATTCTGCTACCTCAGACTCAGCTGGGATTACAGCAGTGCTGGGATTACAGGTATGTGCTGTCATGCCTGGCCTCTTCTATTTCTTTTTCCTCTCCAACCTCCTCTTTGCATACACCAACAGTTTGCTTTACACATTTTACTAATAGACTTCAGTATGGTATTTCCCTGGCGTAGTGTTACATTGGTTCAGAAAAAAATTTTGAGAAAAGAAAAATTGTAAAATCCAATGATGTCAATTAACACGATGAGCTACTACTAGCCAGGCATGGTGGCACACACCTGTAAGCCTATAATTGTGGGGGTCTCTGAGGCAGTAGGATTTAAAGTCTAAGAATTTCACAACTTTGGAGTGTTTTGAATTTAGAACCTTCACACTGAGCTACATCCCCACCAATTTTTTTTCAGTCTTTTACTTTGAGACAGGATCTCAATAAGTTGCCCAAAATTGAAATCCTCCTGCATCAGCCTCTGGAGAAGCTAGAGTTACAAGGAGTATACCACTGTGCCCAGCTCAGAAATTTTAGCTTCTGAGAAAAAAATAATGGTTATTTTAAAAAATTGTCATGATTCTCTAGGAACTGCCCAAACAATGGATAGGAAAGTTTAAAATCCGAAGATTCCCGTTCCCCTAACTTCAGTGGAGGTGCATGGCTCTGGGCCTTTCCTTCCCCTTAGCTTCTCTGATGCTCAGTTTCTTTGGGTACAAAGCTGGAGTGGGCAGTGCCGGCTTTGCCTTCTGGAGGGGACGATGAACATGCGAGGTGGGTAGTTTGCTTCCACCAGGGCTTCTGAGGGAGGCTGCCAGGATCCCCTGGCCAGAGTCACGGTCACAGCTTTCCCCTCAGGGCCAGCGGGGGTGCCCACCGGCTGGTGATCCTGCCAACCTCGTCCGTCCTCTCCAGTGTCACTGCTGCTTAGCGAGCAGCCTCCCTCGTGACTCAGGGCCATGAAGGGTGGACACCACTGAGTCAAGCAAATGACATTAGAAAAATGGAAACAGCAGCTCAGTCATGACTTCACCGGAAGAAACATTCTTATAAAACTATCTGAGTCATGTTTGCATCCTCCTGATAAGTCAGACGCAGCTGAAATTGCAAGGAGCAACCCTTAGGAGTCGCATGGTGACAGCTGTGTCTCCAGCTCACTAAGTCCTTCCAAAGACCCAGGTTCTGGGGGGCGGATGCGCTGGAGGAGGCCGGCGCTGCAGCAGGCCGTCATTTCCTCAGCACCTCTGGTCCTCTTTCCTAGCACACAGTGTCACTGTCCCCAGTCCTCAGTCAGCGCACCACCCCCACTCCGTGCTCCTTGGCTGCCCCTGCAGGTGGGATGGCCCAGGAGCCTCATAAGAAAACAGGGAAGAACAAAAACACAAAGTCAGCCAAGGAAAACCTGCTGGAGACTTAACCCTTCTTAACCAATCCATCATGAAAGTTTATTCAAGTAAGATGTAAAACCTCAAAGGATTACACATTCCGTGTAATTCCATCTGCCCCAAGTTCTATGGATACTTGAAATCATAGTCTTACAAAGGAAAAAAGTTTAGGACATAAACAAATGCAAATCAAAACCCAACCTGGGAAGTTCTCTCATGCTAAATCCTCTCTTGCCTAAAAGCCACACGAGTGCAAGTCTGGCAGAGAGAAAAATCAGTGAAATTTACATAGACAAAATAAACCTCCAAGTTTCATTTTCACTTCTAATGGCAAACATGAAAGCAAACTTTAAGGCAGCACAACATGTTTCACCCACTTTGGCAGATTAATCAATAATCAACACAAAATAAATTCTTGATCAGAAATACTAAAGGAGCACCAAAAAGAAGACTACCTGAGGTGTAGAAAGAACCCCAGGGTGCCTAAGAAATTTTAAGTTAATTTAAGCCAAGTTCAGAAGTCTGAAAATTATAGTGCAAACCATTCAGCTCGAACTAGTATCTGAGGAGAATTCTTCATTGATATTAGTAAACAATAACGCCTTGGGATGGGGATGTAGCTCAGAGGCACAGCGCCCTGCCCAGCAAGCGCAAGGTCGTGAGTTCAATTCCTGGTACAAAAAAAAAAAAAAAACCAACAAAACAATAATACCATGCAATGTCCCGGAGGAAAGGTGAGACTTGGGTATTTCTTCTCTCACAATATTACCTTACAGCTAACAGTAGCCAGGGTAGAAAAGGAAATTCCTCTGTTCACACCCAACCCCCTTAAACGCCTTTGTAAAGAGGACTATGTACCATGCATTTTTTAAAAACTATTGTTGGGGCTAGGGAGACTCAGCGTTTGTTTGTTTGTTTGTTTTTCCCCTTCCTGTCTTTAAAGTCAATTAACTCTTGGCTGTCAAATACCAAACAAACAGGGAGAGGGTGAGTGATGCACTGGCCAGAGGATGTGTGCTAAACCTGCATTCTAAAGCACCTTGGGGTATGCTTTGGTAGCAAAATATTTCTTTCAGCAAAACTATTTCATTGAACTTGATCGGTAACTTTAAAAATTTTCCTGCAGTTGAGCGTATAGCTTGGCAGTAGAGTGTGCACAAGGCCCTGGGCACCAAAAGCATGTTTTTCTTAGTTATTAATAGAAAATTGAAAGTATTTCAATACTTGAGATTATAATCATCCAAATATAAATTCTGAGTGGAGGGGATGACCATGAAATCACTGCCCACCCAAAACAGCCTGGGCGCTGGTATCGTTCTGTAATCTGCCCAGTGTTAGAGCAAGAGAAGGCCCTTCTGGTCAGTGAGAGGAACCGGAAAGACAGACCCTTCTGGTCATTTTGTTCCCTCATTCTCTACCTTCCCAGTGATAAGAAAGCCAGGCTACATTTACTTCTCGTTTTCAATTATCTAGTAGAAACAAGTGAAGAAACCAACCATTCTGAAAGGCTGAGGCAAGAGGATGCCAAGTTCAAGCCTAGCCTCGACAATTTAGCAGCTTAACAAAACCCTGTCTCAAAATTAAATATTCAGCAGGGCGTGGTGGCTCACGCCTGTAATCCCAGCACTCGGGAGGCTGAGGCAGGAGGATCGTTGCAAGTTTGAGGCCAGCCCGGGCTACAAAGTGAGCTCGAGACCAGCCTGAACTGCATAGTGAGACCCTGTCTCAAAAAGACAAAATAAATACATAAATAAATAAAAATAAAATTACAAAGTACCCCTTCAGTCAGGGGGTGGTAAGGATAAAATAAGATGTACCTGGTCCATAGTAAACATTCAGTCACTGACTGCAACAATAAAAGGCATAACCTAGGCAGTGGTAGCATGTACTTATATAGTACATGCTATATAATACATGCTATATAGTAGTTGCAGATACTTGGGAGGCTGAGGCAAGAGGATCTCTTGAATCCAGGAGTTTAAGGCCAGACTGAGAACACAGTGAGATCCCAAAGGAAAAGAAAAGAAGAAGGAGGGGAAAGAAAGGGAGGAGAGGAGAGGGGAGGGGAGGGGAAGCAGAGATGGAGAGAAGGAGGGAGAGAAGGAAGAAAGGGAAGAGATAAGGAAAGAAATGAAAAGAGGAAGACATATTAGGGCCGTTTTGCAGGCACCCTGACCTCTTCTTTGGCTCCCTTCCTCCCATTCATGCACCATTTAGACAGATTTTATTTTAAATGGGGACGCTGCCGTACAGCTCAGTGTGTGTTTAGCATTGGTGATCCCTGGCTTTACTCCCCAGCATCTATTTAAAAACAAAACAAAACAAAACCTTTCTAACACTGATTTCAAATTCTTTTCTCAAGACAATTACTAGGAACAACGCCCAGGTGCCCTGCGCCCCTTTCTGTGACATGGCTGGTAATCCTCCATCGCGTCCTCTTGGGTCCTCCGCCTCCACCTTTCCATGCAGCTCCCCACTCCCTAATTTAGAGCTGACCGGCTGGAAAAACACAGGCTTCACAGTCCTGGGAAGACACCTTCCACTCTGGCCAAAGGCCCAGCTCTCAGTTCTCCTGCCCCGGCCTCTGAGTCCAGTGACTGAGCTGGATGTTCTGGACACTAGGGCCAGCGCAGCGCTCCCTGTGACCTCCTTTCCTGTTGAAGGCGCTGTCTTTCATTTTCAGAGGAGACAGAAGTTATGAAAAGAAAAGGCATTGAATTGCAGCCATGCCTTTTGCTCAGAGTGCCTTGGTGATAAATCCAGTTTGGTTCCAAAACTTACCTAGAACAACGTACTGCATGGTGGTGGCCATTCAAAGGTAGTAAAACATGATTGTTCTAACACTAACAATTGAAAGCAGACAGGAGGATACAACAGGACTGTGCAAAAACTCTGTTTTAGAATTCTGAGCCTTGGGGCTGGGGATTTAGCTCAGCAGCACAATGCCTGCCTGGTTAAGCGCAAGGGCTTGAGTTCGATTCCCGGTACCAGAAAAAAAACCAAAAAAAAAAAAAAAAAATAGAATACTGAGCCTCAAGTAAACTAAGTTTTGACAGAGTAAAACAAGAAAGTAGGTAAAGACATT